TCTATTTATCTATCTATCTATCTGAATGCAATTTTTCCCCAAAGAAATACTAACTACATTCAGTTATTTACTTCTAGTGCCTGGGGCAATGCTGACATTTACTAAGTATAAATAATAACACTAAGAAATAATAGTTTTTAATCTAATACACTAAAGTGGCACTGGATAAGCAACCTGACAAAGCCAATATTCTTTACAGGAACTGGCCTGTGAAGCACGTATGGAGAGTTTTCACATAAAGGCATCTTTGGTTACACACATCCCCGTTTCTTTCCAGTCCTTCCCAACTGAACAGCTTTTAGAGCAATGTTCTGGGGTAAAGTCCTCTTTTAAACCAATGGAGTTAAAAACCACACGGAGATTGTACTATTAGCACACTTCTAAAATTCTGATATTATTGAAGGAACCCAACTGATGAATGGTTAAAGCGCGTTTACAGACTCAACTTTTCAGAAATGTCTCCACTGAAAATATGTAACCTCTCTCTTCTTTTTTTTTTCCTCCATTTTCACAACTCCATGTGGGTGAAAGTGCAAGCCGTCCAGGCACACCTTCATTTGTTCCCTGGTTTTGAAATGATTCCCAGACTTCTTTTTCAAACAATCATCACTAGAACCTTCTGAGGATGCCAGTGGCACCTCCTCTTCAGGGCCAGTTACTGGGCAGTGCCTGAAGCCTCCTCAGCCAGCAGAGAACACTTCTGCTCAACTCTCCGCACAACTTCGACTGTGAGGAAAGGATAGGCAGGCTTCCGAGAAAAACGGTAATCTTGCTGTTTCCTCGGCATTAATATTCTGATCATCAATGCTTTAAGTTTTATTTTATTTATTGTTTTTTTTATGTCTCACTATTTTGAACTCAAATATTATATTAAACTTTCGCAGAGAAAATTATAGAGAAGAAAATTTCTTCTTTTAGCTGGAATTTCCGAATTTATCTTGGTGTTCAAAGGGGCAGTGGTTGTTTCTCCAGTTGTCAGATCCTGATGGCTGCAATTGGAAGTATTCACTGAGGAACTGGATGCCCACGAGCTACAATGCTGTTGTGGAACACAGCAAAAACTTCAACAAATAAATGGCGTGTTTTAAGTAGATGTAAAACAAAGATAGGAATTAAAAGTCCAAATTATAAGTGTCTTACAAATCATCCTACACACACACACACTAACACATACACATACACTCATACATATACACTCAGAGATATACTCGCATACAGATATACACACACCACACATATATACACATAAACATACAAATACACACCACACACACACTCACACTCACACATACACATTCTCAAACACAGATATACTCACATATACTCACATATACAGAAACACACCACACACACACACACACACACTCACATGCTCTCAAACTCAGATATATTCTCATATAACTTGCAAACACAGATACACATACACACAACCGCATATATACAAATGTATACACACACTCAGAAATAGATTTGGAACGTGAGAGAGTTTCACAAACTGCAGACCTTCTCAGATCGACATAGATCTATCTTCACAAACATGGATCTTCTCGATATTACAAATATGCCCAAGTCAAGAGATAGCTTTTCTTTTTAAGCATCCTCCTATTTTCAATTTTTTTTTGCCCTAAACCAGGAATGTAATTGTTTAGTAAGGAAACTAAGGAGAATTGCATCATAGGCTTCCAGAACACTGCAAAATGACAGATCTTTTTCAAGGCACAAGTGGTCCCAGTACAGTATTTGCTATCCGCATTCTGCATTCCCTGCAGGTCTGGGATGGTCCCCTTCCACCACTGTGTTAGAAAGGTCTAGAGTAGTATTTTGGGTAGCGTCCTTTGTTTTCATGGGTTATGATAAAATGCTGATTCTGAAATGATGGGAGGCATATAATGGGTATGTGTATGTGTGTGTGCCAGTAAATCTCAACTAAAAAGGGACAAGAAAAGCTATTTCTTTTTGAAAAATTATTTTAAAGACAATCTTATTTTACATACCAATCCCAGATCCCTATCCCTTGCACCCTCCAGTTCCTCACACTTCCTCCCCACTCCCACCCCCATCCACTCCTCAGAGAGGGTGAGACCTACCTTGGGGAGTCAACAAAGTCTGTTACATCACTAAGGCCCTCCAGCCTATATCTAGGCTGAGCAAAGTGTCCCTCCATAGGGAATGGGCTCCAAAGAGCCTGTTCATGCACTAGCGATAAATACTGGTCCCACTGCCAGTGGTCCCACCAAATGCCCACGCCACACAACTGTCACCATTGAGAGGGCCTAGTTTGGTCCTATGCAGGTTCCCCAGCTGTCAGTCCAGAATCAGCAAGCTCCCACTAGCTTGGGTCAGCTGTTTCTGCGGTTTTCCCCCATCATGGTCTGCAAGGCTATTTCAGGGTCCTCAGAAGGTGGGGTTAGTTTGGGGCCAAGAGCTGTATCCCTAGTCTAGTAGAAGGGGAGCCTGCTGTTTCAGCCCCGCATTTCAGGCCCAGACAGCAATAGATTCTATGCAGCAAGCCCTTGCTCCATGCCAGTCTGCATGAGTCATCTTAAATATGCGATCTCCTTTATTCCTCCCTTGTGGGAGAAGTATGAGCCAGGAAGCACTAGCGTCTGGAAGCCCATATTCTGGGACGGACTAAATGTGGCATCGAGTCACACCTTTGCCACCGATGTGCTACACAACTGTAGACAAACTCGGCATCTTCATCTTTAACTCGGGGATAGGCAAGAAGGTAGGGAGAACTGTGTTGGGCAGTATATGCTGGGCTTATTAAGAGCTCAACTATTTCCTGCTCGTATTGATGCCCTCTGTGTTTACAAAGGGGGGGAAACAGAGGCCCACAGAGGGCACGTGTATCCACCGTCAACACATTTGGCAAAGAATCAAAGTAGGAGGTGGGCCAGTGTCTGTGTTCCCGCCCCCTCTCCTGGATTCCGCGTTAATAAAAATTACTGTTTCTCTCATTAGCATAATTGGTACCCTACTCAAACCTCTACTTTCGAAAAGACTACACAGCCACAGTTCCATTTGGTTTCTCAGATAACCATCCTGCGCCTTCGGAGCTGGGATTCTAATTCCCGTTAGCTAGCAGAGACCCTCCTATGGGAAGAGAAAGCTCTAGTCACCGGCCTGAAGCTCCCTGCCGTCTAAACGGCTCTGTGTGTGTGTGTGTGTGTGTGTGTGTGTGTGTGTGCTTGCTCATGGGCCCAGAACGGTCTGCACACTTTGCTTTGGATTTGCTTAGCTTCCATTTTGTCCTTGCGTGCTTCCATTTCAATTCAGGTGCAATGCCAAACCTGTTGGTCGAATGCAACCCAACAGGCGGCTTTGTCAGGGCCTCATCAAGAGCACCTGCCTTTAAGACGCCCATGGCCAGATCCACAGCTCTCTCGAATGCCCTAGCCATTTCTCTCCCTGGCCCTCCTCCTCATGCTGGTAGAACATTCATTATCAAAACAAAAGCAAATCCTTAAAAATCCTTCTTTTCTTTTACTGGCGAAACCTTTTCCTCCCCTCCTTAATGGAAGGCAAGAGGTACCTATCCCCAGTTCATGCTGAAGGAAGGAAAGTTTCTTTTGATGGGCCTGCGTGCTGCGTGTGTTCCTTTTGGTTAGGAAATCGCTACTTGATTTAGAAATCCCTTGAGATCTAAGGCCTCTAGGCTAATAAAGGTAGAATCTCAGATGGTCGACCACACCTCTTTCCCGTTCAGCTGCTGCCTGAAAAGTTATGGCATCTGCATTAAAAGCCTAAAAGTTCCCCAAATGGGAAAGCCTGCGAGGTCCAGGAGCCTCAGCTGCCGGAACCTCCCAACCCTCAAGTGCAGTTTGGGGAGGCTGCAAGGACAGCAAGAAGAGACTTTCCTTTTATGGTGACAGGCAAGCCCCGGGTTCTGACTTGGCAGAGAAGATTCATTAGGAAAAAAAAGAAGGCTCCTTCGGTTTCGATCCCAGTTTCTACTGTCTCCGGGGAGATAAAGGCTCTCCCTGTATGCGTTCACAATCTGTTGGTTATGGCCTCTCCCCTCCATGGCTTTGAAAGTCTCTCCTTTCACATGGTCACAAGGAGACTGCCCCGAGGCAGGATGGCTCTGCTTCCTGGGGTCGGGGTTGGCTCGGTGCCATCCACAGAAGGGCTTCCAGCCTTAGGCAGGGCAGCCCGTGGATTAACAGATGCCCACCACTTGGCCGAACAACAGCCCATGCCATCTTCCTGTCCCCAAATAGCCTTTGCTACATTAATTGCATCACTGATGCATTAAAAAAAATTAAGTGGCCCTTTCATGCTAAGGCCGCCATTTGAAGGAGAAGATATTGAAGGCTGGTCTTTGTGATCACCACCGATGACCCTTCTTTTATTTCACTATAGAGTTTTGTCCTTCTGAGCAATGTGGGCATATCTAGTGGGTTTGTAAAGAGTTACCCTCTGCTTCCCACTTTTAAGGCACCACTTGCTAGGAAGAACTGGAGACTGTTTTGACAAAAGATGTCTTGAAGAACACGGCTCGTTTCAACCACCCATTCTGTTAGTTTTCAAAAACACCAGGAGCCTTTGGTAAAAAGGCATAGTTTAAAGGTTTTGTATGGGCAGTCTTGGTTAGAACAAAAGAAAACAAATGCTTCATGTAGTTGGCTCACTTCTACTAAGAGTTAATAAAAAGCCACCGAATTAACTTGCCCTGTCCAGCTAACAGCTGCAGCCACAGCCCCAACTTCCTAATGAGAAGAGACAAACGGATTTGTCTGCAGCCGGTGCGTGCACCTGCTCAGCTTTCCACCCTATGCCAAGTGTATCTAGGTGTTCCCTGACAAATGTTCCCAGTCCGCCAGGCCCACGGGCGTTGCCTGAAGGCAGGGGGATTCCAACCCGTCTGGGCACAGTTTACAGTTGCCAGTAGCAGGCGGCTGGAGGATAATGTTTTGCGTGTGTGCTTGACTGGCCAGACGGGTTGGATCTCAGGACTGAGATCACGCATGTGGAGGGGGTGCCCTGGGGACACTAACCTGGAAGATGAGCACTTTGAAGTGGTTGCGGCGGAGGAGCTGGGCATGGTTGTTCTCCATTCTCTTCACCTGTGCGCACTGCCTCTCCAGGCGCTCCCGGACGGCGCGCGTGTGAGCGCTGACTTTGCGAGACTTCTCCAGCAGCTTGTTCACGGTGTTGCTGGTGGAGGCCTGGTACTTGGAGAGCTTGGTGAGGTCGTTCTGGATGCCCTTCACGGAGCCCTCCAGGTTGATCTGCCGCTGCTCCATGTTGTGCTGGTTCTCCCTCACGGTGTCCAGCATGTTGACGAGCTTGTCCAGCAGTGTGTGCACGGTCACAGCGTTCACCTGCGAGTTGTCCCGGATGGCCTCATCTGTGGAGCCCAGGTTCAGGCTGGGGCTCGGTGTAGAGGAAGGCATTGGGCTGGGGCTGGATGGCTTCTCCTGGCGCGCGTCCGCATTTGGGTGCTGGAACTTTTCGGCTTGTACAGCGTCCTCTCCCATGGCTGCGCTGATGGGAGCCTACTTCCCCTGCTGCAAAGTGTCTCGCTCAGGCAAGAAGTGGGTTGTGGTGACTGCAGAGCGCGGGGAGGTCCGTTGGTCTGAACCGGACACTGTTCTCCAGGGCTAGCAGAGGTTCAAGCAGGGAATAACCGGCTAAGCTGATCAGGAGAACTGCATTCCAGCTGCTCTTAAAGGCCCTACTCCACCCAGTGGGAGGCAAAGGTTACTGGACCCACTCCGGGTTCAGCCACAAGCAAACACTTCCTAACCACGTTCCCCACAAGCCAAAGCTCTTGACTGCGTTCGCTTTTCTTTCCTACACGCCTTCCCTTTTTAAAACAGATTCAATGCCATATTTCAATCATGAGTTCATTTAGAGGCGGGGAGAAACATGTTAACTTGGCTGGCCTTCCCAGCCTTTGATTGGCTAAAGCAAGTAAACTTTCCTCTGGCTGCTGTGTTACTGCGGGCTTCCTTTCCCCTCCCCTGGATACAAGTTATTGTAACCGAAAGTATTGTTTACTCTTGCGCCAGAGCTGACTGATAGGTTGCAGAACACCGAGTGCCCTTCTGGGAGGGGTAGGGCTGAAAGGGTCTACACAGCCAAGTTTATGGTGTCCCTTTCTTATTTGCAAAGGAATGGAAATTACACTGCTAACTGACAAGAAAAAAAACAGCCTGGTGCGTCCTTCTCTTGCAAGTGAGGAAGCAATGCAGCTTGAAAGAGCTTAGACTGCAGGGATGTTAAGACAAGCGGCCGTGCATGCTGTGGAACTGGTACCTAAGAGGTGACTATCTTTTGAATGAATGCTTTTTTAGAATCACGGAACTTTAAAAATATTTTTTCCCACTTTTTAAAAGATGAAAAAAGAGGAACCCCTCTCCCCAGAATTTTAAAGAATTCTGAATTCTTTAAAAGGAGCAAGTGTAAATTTGTCTCCTCTCATTCTGAATTCATGCCAAGAATTTCTTGATTCCCATCCGCGCACGCGAGGCCTTTACTGACACAGCCCAGCAGTGTGACTGCGGGGCCAGGCTGAATTGGAGCGGTTCTAACGCTTGGCGTTTCCAGATTCCTGCCCAGTGAAGGGGCACACCTGTTCTCACACGTGGCCCTGCTTAGCGGGGCCTTTGGGATGTGGGGCTTCTCGCCTAACACGACTTTACATGCTTGGGTTGGTCTTAAATGTACCCAGACTGTGAAAGTGCTTTTGGCAGGAAGTCTGTAACAGACCCGCTTTGAAAAATTTCAAGAACAAATGTCAGCCCACAGAGGGTCAGGTACTGATCATGGGACAGCGCTTTTCTCAATAGCCGTATCTCCATGTAAACCAATGAAACAGTAGCTCTTTCATTAAAAACTGTTTTTAATTGAGCTATATTTTTCTCTCCTCCCCTTCCTTCATTCCCCTCCCCTTCTACCCTCTCGCATGATCCCCATGCTCCCAATTTACTCAAGAGATTTTGTCTTTTTCTACTTCCCATGTAGTTTAGATCCATGTATGCCTCTCTCGGGGTCCTCTTTGTTGTCTAGGTTCTCTGGGATTGTGAATCGTAGGATGGTTTTTCTTTGCTTTATGTCTAAAAACCACTTATGAGTTAGTACATATGATAGTTGTCTTTCTGGGTCTGGGCTACCTCACTCAATATGATGTTTTCTAGCTCCATCCATTTGCCCATGAATTTCAAGATGTCATTATTTTCTCTGCTGTTTAGTACTCCATTGTGCAAATGTACCACATTTTCAAGCTCTTATGGTGCTATATAGTCATTGGTTCCCTTCTCCTTGGCTCTATGCAGTATGTAGGGAGTATTCGCAGAAGGTGGGCCAGGATGCTGCTCCCAACCTGCTCATGAGGGAGATGCGTTAAAGACATTCTAGAGGCCCACAGCTTCCTCAGAAAATTGACATCCCCCAGCCCACTTAAAGCGGAGCCTTTAGGAACAGAGAGTTATACATGCCAAAAGAAGATTTGATTGGAATTTTGCCCTTTAAGAAATTAAGACATTTTCTTTAAAAGAAAAAAAAAGTTACATTTAGGACATTTTAGTTGAACAAAGATGTGTTAAATATTAAAACAAAAAAATGAATCTGCTGCAGATTTTCAAAAGCTAAATTTTCGAACCAGATTATATGGTTTCATGATATCGTGTGTGTCCTCAAACTTAAAAATCCCCCCCTCTGCCCCCTGAGTGCGGGGATTAAAGGTGTGTGTCACTAGTGACTGGCTTTGAGTTACTATTTAGGGGACATGGAAATTACTTCCAAATACTGCCCTCAGAGTTAGATGTATGATCAGAGAAGAACACCCCTAGACTTAGTGCTGTGACAAACAGAGAAGTCTTAGCATCAACCTCAGAATTCAGCTCTTGATGTAGGAGTGTCTTCTATCTGTTGCTTTCATTGGTTAATTAATAAAGAAAACTGCTTGGCCTGATAGGTCAGAACATAGGTGGGTGGAGTAGACAGAACAGAATGCTGGGAAGAAGGGAAGTGAGAGAGACGCCATAGCTCTCCTCTCCGAGAAGGACACAGGTTAGAATCTTCCTGGTAAGCCACCACTTCATGGTGCTACACAGATTATTAGAAATGGGTTATACAAGATGTGAGAGTTAGTTAATAAGAGGCTAGAACTAATGGGTCAGGCAGTGTTTAAATGAATACAGTTTCCATGTAATAATTCTGGGGCTAAGATAGCCGTGTGGGAGCCGGACAAGACGAAAAGCAGGCCTGCTAGCCCCATCACTACAAACTCTTTCTGACATTGTCTTGTCTTCCATCAGCAAGGACTGTTTTGTGGTGGATTTTGTTTGTTTGTTTTTTTTGGTTTTTTTTTTTTTTTTTTTATTTTTCAAAGTTCTCTCAAGAATCTGATAGGATTCTCCTACAGAGAACAAATGTCTTCTGTCTCCTTGAACTCATATCCTCAACTGGAAATGATCAGTATTGAATAGGAAGAAAGACCGAGGTCTGCCAACACACCTGGACACTTTCTCGTACACACCTTTTCCTTCTAGGGTCTCACAGGGAATCATTTACAATCTATCATCCGTTCTGATGCCACGTGGACTTTGTGTCAGGATACTTATTGTATGTTTTCCAGGTCCACTGGGTTTTCCAAGAAACCATTTATTACTTCCCTAAACATTGTCTCCATTCTTTCTGTTCTCTCTTTCTGAGCCTTGTCCAGCAAGCCTAGAGGCCTGCTCCTATTTTCCCCTTTGCATATTGATGAATCTGAATGCCTTTCCCTATATAATCTGTTTACCCTTGGCTCATTCAGCAAACCCTGAGAATTTTGCCCACTCCACTCTCTAAAGCCATTACGCAAGACTTTCTTTCGCCCATATTTTTCTCAACAGATGGCAAGAGTTGACCTTGGACCCAGAAATGAAAACTTGTGCAGACTGAAGATGGTAACGCTTTTTTTCCCCCCCCACTCCAGTTTTTCCTCTCAGGAAACAGACTAACTAAGGTCGTGAACTCGCAAGCCCCACTTCCCAGGTCACATTCTGACCGGGTTGTATGTGTAAACCCTGGACAACGAGTCTTCTTTTTGTGATTCTAGTTTCTCATTACACAATAAGTACAATATTGGTCCTCTTTGTTGTTATGAAGAATAAATTAATGTTTGTGAAGTGTTTGGGCCAGGGCCTGGGGAGCAGCGTTTGAGTTAAACACGAAGATCATAAAAACGGTCATACTAATTCAGTTGTCCAGTTCATTCTCTTCGCCTTGAAGAGGTGACTTTTCATATTTTGTAAACATGTGGCGTCTTGTCGCAGATGCAGAGCTAATATTTCTTCTGCTGTTGCTTTCCCTTGTGCTCACTCACACGTGTGTGGTAGACCTTAGGGAAGTACATGAGGGTGACCGGCTAGCTTGCAGATAAGTTAATCTGCTTTAAATGAGTTATTATACGCTCAGCAAAGCCTAGGACTCTTAGACCACAGGGAAGAAACATAAATTGAGACTATCGTCCCGAAGAAGTTCTGAATCTTTGGCTGGGAAAAACAAGATTTACGTGCAAGTAGCAGTTAGAAGACAACACCAGGCCATACCTAAGGAAGGGCTGAAGCTGTGCTTTTTCACCTTCAGGAAGCTGTTACCATCCCAATGACCTGGAGCTTTTACTTTCCTCAAGGCAGACCCTTGAAGCAAACAGGAAGTGTGGCAAAGAGCTTTAAATTAAAAGACTATCTTGATAATAAAAGCTTTCCTTATAATACCGTATTCGAATGGATACTGTCCCGAAATAGTTTAAGACCTTGAAAAAAAAAAAAAAAAACAATACATCCAGGAAGCAGGCAGATATCTCAGTGTTTTCGGGTCAGAGCTGATGCTTACGGAAGTGGAGGGCTCTGGATGCGGATGCGCCGTGAGATGAGAATTTCCTCCTACCCTCTCAGTTGCCTCCCCTCCCCTGCTGCAGTTTTAAGGCTCCAAAAGCTCCCCTGTGAAGGAAGCTTTGGGATTCCTGGGGTCATGCGTTTTAGAGTTTAATAAAGCCTCGTTTCGAAATCGCCGTTTCGCAAATATGTCTTGTGAAGTACGAGGAGCTGCGAAGAAATAGAATTTCGTACGGGTATTTTAAACAAACAAGGAAACAAAAACACACAAGCCAAATCCCAGGTTAACAACCCGGACTTCTTACAATGTCCTTAAAGGAAGTCATATTAACTTGAGAACAAGAGAAGGAAATTTCAAAGCCGTTTTGGTATCCGACCCCGGCACTTGTCAGGGAGCTAGCTCCTCTTCATGGATAATTCAAATCCTTATCATAGCGCTATAAAACCATTTCCTCTCATTCTGCTCTGTTTTCGAGTTAATGAACGTTCCCATAATGGATTGCCATCAACGACATATAAATCACCCTCCTCGCAGTTTCTACATTTTCGTGTGGAAACTCAGGGCCTCTGGTTGGTTAAAGCAGAGCCACGTCTCGAGAGAAGTCGCAGCTACAAAGGTTCTTTATCAAAAAGTATTTCGGGAGTGTACCACGTGTCAGCAACAAAATGCCTTTGGAGGGGTGGCGAGGGCCTCTGCCTGGTGCCTTCCCCTTAGAGGTACTTGAAACATCTTAAATTATCTCTGAATGCCAAAAATGTGTGATTCCGAATTCCTCTCCCTGTCGGCTCACACTCTCTGGCTTCAAAGCACTGTTGTCTTAGTGGCAACTGTGGCATTGTTCCAATAGAAACAAAGGATGTGTTTTGGACCACATTTTGGACTGTGCCTGGTGCATGCAACTCATTGTAGCGGCTCCTTCAGAACCACGGTCTGTATGGTGATTAGGCATGTCCATCTCTCACTGCTAATTCCATTCCTTTGTTACACACACACACACACAC